GCTTGCCCTAGATCACATATAGGCTTGGTAAGAGTAATATAATTGATTAGGGGATTTTTCCCCGCCACATGGACCACTGGTAACCTGCCGCGTGTCATCCACGTGGACCTATCAGAGTCCACCACGTGTCACCTCGTGAGAGGTCCAAGGTGGACCAATCAGGTCACGACACGTGGCAGGCAGAAATGCCTACTGAGCAAATGGCCTCTTACGGCCCAAAGTTCCAGGCAAAACCCAATCAGCCCTAGGTTTACTAAAACCTAGTATTGGGCACGTTTTCAACACCCTATAAAAGAGAGATGTTTCCATCATAGGAACATTTTATTCAGAAATATTCAATACACATTAACTCTACATCAGAGAAAGTCAGACACCTGACACCCTAAACCGAGCAATTACATTGCAGATCCTCTCTTGGAATCCGAGAGAGACCCTTTACTTTCCGCACTTTACTTCTCAAACACGTTCTAACTTGATCGTCGGAGTCGGAACTCTCACCCATCGGAGTCTTCGTTGTTTTACATGTACAGGCAACTGAATGTCAGCTTTGAAATTGTAACTCTCCCGAATGATATCAAAAAACCCCGTAACAATAATCACACTTTACACTTCATACTTCCCTGGTCAAAAGCACAAATGTAAAGATTTTACCCTATTGCACATGAATTAGACTGTCGCTAGCAAAAATCATTACTCCAAATAAAATATTATCGCCATGACGCCATGTATTATTTGTTGTACCTAATAGTGACGGATTTGGGAATTTTGTATAATTATATTGGTTGTTTGACTATAGGTCATAATTTCTATCTTACTTCTGGAGTATCATGCATAAGGTACTCCAGGTTTATAAAATTCATGTTATTTTGATGTGAACTTTTTATTATTTCAAGTTATATAATAATATATTTTATTTTAAATAAGTACATGTTATATATACATGCATATGACTATAAAGTGTTTCTCTTACTCTTTGATTAGAAATTTATCTCCCATTTTCCTGCGTTACAATTTCTCCCTTTTTCTAAGTCATCTTCCTCCCACACTCATTCTCCCTCTCTCTTCCTCTCAGTACTCCAACTCAAAATCAAACACACTTTCTCTCTCTCTTTTTTTTCTTCCAATTTTCTGGGTTCCCCAATTAATCAATGGATTTGAAGCCATTTAAGGGTTCAAAATCAAATGTGTTCATGTCCATAAATTTAGTACCCCTTGAAGTGTTCGATTCTCTTCACGATGGCCTAAAACTCAATAATGCTAATGTTATTTTGATGTGAACTTCTCATTATTTCAATATATATATATATATATATATATATATATATATATATATATATATATATATATATATATATATAAAATAAGTACAGTTATCTTATGTAAAATAGCACGAGCTGATGTTGAAGTAAATAAATAAATAATATATTATTTTAGTAAAATAATACAAGATTTAAGCAAAATAATATAAAATTTAGGGAAAAGAACTCAAACATATTGGGTATGGAATACCATGATCCATTGTAGTACTGCAGGAGTATATAATACTAACTCCAAAGCAAACAACAAAAAAACTAAAGCTAAACTAAAAACGAAAACAAAGCAAAGAGCGACGTTCGAGCTGAGCCTACCAAGTAATGAGCATGTGCTACCAACAGGCGAGGACCCGAGGTACTTTCTGAATATGGCAGACATTCAAGGTAGCCACATGACGTCGATTGTTAGTTAAAAGTATGCAAAACATCCTTTAAGGATTGTAAATTATTTGAGAGACCTAAGTAAGTTTTCGTAAAATCAAATCAAACATTAACTAAACTTGATACAGGTGATTAGTGATAAGATTATAGATACACTCTAATAGCTAATCTAATGGTTATTAATAATCTTCTATCAAACATTTTGGTGCGTTCGTTAAGGACATTAACAGATCATTAAAAAATAAATAAATAAACCCGGAAAAAACGGTATTGACAATGTGTTAGAATCCAACTCCTTTTGATGTATTAGATGCCCCTTTAATGCTTTGCTAGAGTTTACTTTATGTTTTCTAGGCCTTAGATCCCATTATTGTGTTACTGTCATCTCAGTGTTCAATACAAATTCTATGCATGTACTATTTAAAGCTCTTTAGAGGGCAAATGATTAATGAAATCAAGCCTTCTACCAAGTGTTGCCTTACATTTATGCTTGTTTGTTGTTAGACCTTTAGAGATATTGTGTCTTACTTGTATAATGGCTCCCCTCCAAACCGACTTGATGCTGTAAACTTGTGGTTCGGACCCGCTTGTGCCCGCCTTGAAGTATCGGCCGTCACAAGCCCCGACCACCTGCACTACGTCGCCAAAAGATGTGAGTGCTTTTTAGATTTAATTGCCCACTCATATTGCTTTGTGCTTACAAGCCTCATTTTCGCACTTAGGCTAGCGTTCTTGCAGCTAAGAGACTAAAGCGCGCCGCACGTTTCGGTGTTCAAAATCTCGAACCGTGACACAGTGGAACTTGATAAGGGTTGACAGGTGACAAGAGTAATTTAGTACTTGATCACCTAATTAAAAATACAATACTCTTTGTCAAAAAAAAAAAAAAAAAAAAAAAAAAAAAAAAAAAAAAAAACTCATACAAAGTACAAACTAGCAGTTTCTTGTATATCGGTACTAGTGGGTATACAATGTATATGCTAATCAATGCAGCTGTTACACATAATGTTGCTCTCTTACTAAGCATACAACGTTCACACTTAATCATAGACATATATACAGTGTATGATTTTCTCGCTAATTTTTTAGGGGATTTAATAATGCCCCTTATTAAGTCAAACCATACTTTTCATAGTTTTCAACTAGTGAATCTTTATCTCTTCTTTCTCCCATTCTCTTTTTAAGGAGGTAATTGGAGGTCGATTAATTGACTTGAGAACACCCTGAAAATTGGCGGCTAACATTGCTGTCACAAAAAAAGTAAAATTAAATTATTTAAATAAATATCGCCTTGCACAAATGAATTTTCGTTACAGAAAAGGATTTTTTTTGTGTGTATCGCAAAAAAAAAAAAAAAATAATTATACGTATAATTAACGATTATTTCATAAAAGATTTTGCCTTTATATTTTTGTATGTAGATAATCAGTTATGGTACCATGTTTGAATCGAACATAGCTTTATGTATTAATCGAGCACACTAGCTATCTAGCAAATTCCAAAGATAAACAGTCAAATTGACAAATTGGAATTACTTGTATAAAATATAAAAATATTGTGGTGTGTATATTTATCACTGAAAAAAAGGTTATTTCCTTGATAATAAACATGATAAAACATCTTGGTTTATCGTATATAAAAATAAAAAAAATTAGTGCTACGAAGTACTCTGTATAAAGTATAAACATCATAGAAATGATAAAGTGGATAAATTTCAACCACCGGTTAGAAGTTTATCAACAGGAGGTATTTACATGTCGATATCCACACTATACTTTGTGTATTATTAACCTTATAAATGTGAACTATACTATGATCCTATCACGAGGAAATAATTAACCACCAATCTATTCATCATATACTAGTATAACATATAATCAGGAAAAATTAATGGAAACTGCTGAATCATAGGCATTGAGTTTTTCAATGCAAGACATAATTATTATGGTAATCTTTGTCTATGTTTTTTCATAACCTTCTAACGTGTGATGACTACCCAAATTAGTCTTCTAATTTACTCATCAATATTATTATTAATCAGAGATATAACATTAGTTGTTTAGTTCGTTGAAAATGTCTTAATTTTTGAATTAATTAATCATTTATTATAAAATTAAATATCTAATAAAATAAAGTTTAACAATAGGAAGACTCAACAAAGCCTTTCAGTCGTTCACCCTTTGTCTTTTTCAGAAGCACGCATTTGATATCCTTGACAAATGGATAACTTGAAGAACAGGTTAAGGGGATTTGACAATTTATTTGTGTTTATCTTTTCCATTATAAATATATTTTCATTGAAAAATTTATTACATCCTAAGAGATTTCTATGCCATTATTAATAATGATTTCAATTCTATTCAATATATAAACAACTATGATTACTTATATTGCTTAGTTTTGTAGATATATTTTGTACCAAAACATTGCTACGACGAAAACAATTTCTTATTTTACTACGTACATTGTTTATATTTGCATATATAAACCGGTATTGCTAAGATTAAAACATAGTATAATTAACCATAAAAGTATATATGCATAATCTTTCCTCCAAAAAAAAAAAAAAAAAAAAAAAAAAAAAGTATATGTCCATAATCATAACCATAACAAAAAATGAACAAAAATTTTCAGTTATATACAAACACGTCTTATTAGGTTACTGATCACGATTTCTATTGAAATATAGGGCCAAAGTTTAAATATTATCATGGGATGACATGTGATGTCTCACTATCTAATTGGGTGATCTACTCATATTAAGTTGACAATATACAATACCTGAAATTTCCATTAGTAGATGTAGCAATTTCTGCACATATAAATGACATACTACAATTATATTTGTGTACTCAACTACACATAGCTAGAATATATGCTGAAAATAAATGGTGTGAAATTTTGCAATCATTAGGCTTGATCTTGGTAACTAGTTACGCAATAGCCTTTAATTTCTAACTTATTTGTCTTAGAATTTTTGTCTCAACTATTAATAAATGTAATCAACGCATGATTACATTATTAAAAAATAATTATAAGTACATACTACATGAAATTGCTACCAAAACAAGTGTATTAAAAAACACTTCAAACACTAAAAATCATCCTTAAATTCAGGTAAAGGAAATCATTTACAACAGAAGCATCGTATTTGTTCAAATTCATATGAGAAAAATACTAGAATTAAGCAATAGATGAGCTGTGCTTTTTAAATTACAAGTATAACATACCAACACTATTACACGTCTCTTTTTATATAAAACTTTTTCATAACATGATAAAAATCAATTTATTTTTTTAGCCATTGACAAATGAATATTAAGAAAGAAGAGCACAAACCACCCGAGACAGCTATCCTAGAGAGCATTTGGGCGAACTACATCGGTGTAACAAATTCGCAAGAAGCATGGAATAATACACCGGGAATTTTTCAAGATTGGATCGGAATACCTTCTTTAGAAGAGGAAAATGATGGACCTTCAAATGCGCTTAAAAGGCTACCAAGCCTAGGAAGATGGGTGTCAATGGGTTCCGAAACATGGGAAGAATTACTTGATAAAATCGTCGGTTCTAGTACAAAAAACCCTAGGGAAACTTGTTACGTGGAGGACAAGAAAAATGAATGGACGATCAACAATTCAAAGGAGAACATGGAGAAGACTAATAAAAACATACCAACTCGACATTATAGAGGAGTACGAAGAAGGCCTTGGGGAAAGTACGCGGCTGAAATAAGGGACTCTAGGAAGAAAGGAGCTCGAGTTTGGCTTGGAACGTTTATTACCGCAGAGGAAGCAGCTTTGGCTTATGATAAGGCGGCCTTAAGAATAAGAGGGGCGGCTAAAGCTTCTCTTAACTTCCCACTTGACGCGGTCACTAAAGCCGTTGTAGGAAGTCAATATGACAAGAATAATCATTGTAATAATCCTTGGAAAAGAGAAGCAAGAGACTGGGAGCTTCAGAGTGATTATGTTGATGAGTTGATGATTCAACAGCCATCTTTTAAAAGATCAAGATTTAGCATGGATAATTTACTTGATTCTCAACATGATGTACTTGAGTTGGAAGATCTTGGGAATGATATATTGGAAAATTTACTTTCTTCAACATTATGATTGTGTGTTTATTTGTCTATATATTGTACGTATATGAGATTTATGTATTGTTTTCATATGTCTTGTGTGTCTCTCTTAAGTTTTTATGAATTCTTGAATCTATTTTCCCCGCTTGTAGCTGGCATGTAATTTACTCCCTCCGTTTTATGTAAGGTACGCCTGTAATTGTTATATATGCTTATCAATAATGTAATACCTCATGTAATATATGAAATTGTTATGTATATATGTAATATATTGGTAAATTATTGATTGTCATTAGTACTTTTATAATGTGTCCACTCATATTGAGTCACACTTGAATGGACTAACCATGGAGTAAGAAGTATCTCTCGATTTTGATCCCACACCCAATTGATGGGTATAATTTAGCATTGTATTATCCATGACCCAACTTGATTGGGTCTTTAATGAAAGGACAAGGAATGGTCCATGTATAAGGTCAAAGTTTTGATTCATGGCTCATAATATTATATACACAATAAATCATGAGAAACATCTTGAATACTAGTTTAAAGTGCGACTTTGCTTTTTATTTCACCGTGGTATTCCAATTTAAATTTCTTACATGAAATCACTATGTTAAAGGCATATTTATACAATCTAACATGGAATCAAAGCTATATTAAGTTTTTTCATAAGATTTTTTTTCTTTCTTCATGTCTTGTTGTATACCACCCTCTGCCATGTGCAACTTTGTTAAACCATATGCTCTGATCCCTTTTAAACAATTATCAAATTATGGATTTTTATACTCGATAGGCCCTCATTGCCTTCAATTAATATTCACAGTAGTAACCCTTGCAAGCACCCTCCAAAAAAAAAAAAAAACAAATGCTCGCACTTATTTCTATTATGATTTATATAAACGCTTTTTTTTCTTATGAAAACTTGCTAACGGCATTAAATGCATGCTTTTACTATTCCAAGTGGTTCAAAAAAAATTACAAATTACAAAAAGGAGCAACACACTCTATTACTCTACATACCTTACTATATATATAATTCTATGAAGTAATATAATCACAAAATTATTACCTTGAAAACTTTGATCAACTATAATTTGTTAAAACTATTTTCTAATTGAGATAGTAATGAGCTCTTTTCAAATGAATTTATTTGAACTTTACTTAGTGGACCGAAGCAATTCCAGTTTCACCTTATATTTACAAGTATGATTGGACTTGATCAACCTTGCTCAAATAATTAGTCATGAAACCATTTTTAAGAAGAAGAGATTGTACTTTAAGTCCTTAAAACTAAGCATATGAGATCGACATGGATACAACAATATAACATAACTAATCACCATGCATACTAAGGTAGAAGTAGTAGAACACTAGAACGATCAATTACTAAACACGGATCAAAATAATTTATATGTAGCTAATGAAATTAAGTCTTTTCTACAAATTATATGAAAAATCCTTCACTTTAAATCTTTAATAGCAACATGTTTGTAGACATACAATACATGTGTATACATGTCCAACAAAAAAGGATATATATTCTCAATGTTCAATTATTTCAAACCTTGTTGTGAAGAACTACTAGAGGTGCTAGCTACCAAACTAGGGTGATTATTGTTAATCAACCCAACAAAATCCCCTGAAACTGGTTTTCCTATATGGGCATGAAAATTGAGCAAGGCCTTAACACCCCTCATCTTAAACGCAGCTCGGTCATAGGCCAACGCCGCCTCCTCAGCCGTAACAAACGTCCCAAGCCAAAGCCGAGCTCCATTTCTTGTCGAGTCACGAATTTCAGCCGCATATTTCCCCCAAGGCCGTTGCCTTACACCTCTATAGTGCCTCTTGGCTACACCACCACTAATTGGAGCATAAAACTTTGTTGTAGGAGTAGAAGATGTCATATTTCGTTTCGCAACTTGTCGAGTCACGAATTTCAGCCGCATATTTCCCCCAAGGCCGTTGCCTTACACCTCTATAGTGCCTCTTGGCTACACCACCACTAATTGGAGCATAAAACTTTGTTGTAGGAGTAGAAGATGTCATATTTCGTTTCGCAACGTTTTGGTTCTTCATCATCATCATCCTTTGAGGATGATATTGTTGTTGGTACAAGTTGTTCATAGTATTATTGGCTTCATTAAGAACTTGGTATAAAACCATGTCATGGGAATCATTTTCATTCAAGGGTAGCTCTGTTTCTGGCATTTTTTATGTTGGTTATAGTTTTGGATGATGAATTAGGTGTTAAAATTTTGAGATTTTGTTTGAATTTTTGGGAATTTATGTGATTTTGGAGTTTGTAATTAATGAAAAGTGCATGCTAGCTAAGATATGGTGTTTGGAAATTAGAAAGTAGAGAAATTAATAGGATGTTATTTTCTTAGTTATATATATATATATATATATATATATATATATATATATATATATATATATATATATATATATATATATATATATATATATATATATATATATATATATATATAGAATTGATAATAGTGTATTAAAAAAATATAAAGCTTTTGATTTGAATAGTAATTAAAGTGGACATCATGTAATTTAGTCTTACCCCTTGTACTTTTCTTCCATCACTATTTAGATGGCGGGGTAGCAGATCATGGCTTATCTTTATGCTAATTAGTACATGGGTAGAAAGTTATCATTGAGTTAATTGAATAATGGGATAATTCAAATCATTTCATGTAATTTAAGTAGAACTTGTTCTTTTCACTTACTATAAAGTGTCTTGAATTGGTCTGATTTTAATAAGTTTTAATTTGGTTAAATGTGCATAGATTGATCTTCCTATTCTAATTAAACTTTGACCATATTTTTAAATCAATGTATATGAAAAGCATTTTTAATTAGATTAGATTCATTTATAAGTGTACATGTTCTTTCCAATAATATATTGTAATTTATTGTTATACATAGTTAAAGGTATACTTATTGTATTGGTAAGTAAAAAATTTAAAATTTTCAATTTGGCTTGATTTTAATATTATGGTCAGATTTGATTTGGTATGATTCTAACAAATATGATTAATAAATAAGTTCAGAAATAGTAGATGAAAACAAGTTCTTAATATTGCTAGATGTATGTATAGTTATCTTTTGGTATAATTGTGTAAGTATTAGGATGTTCGCCTTATGATTTGGACATCATATGTTTGAACCCTATTAGTAATAAATGATTTTTGAATGGATTTCCCTTATCATTCCCTCACTCTAAGTGTAACAAAATAAAGACTACCGAATTAAATTGATATGTGGGTGAAGAATCTAAGGAAACGAATATATCATAAGCTTATTTACAAAAAGTTATTGCTTGATCTTCAAGAGCATGTTACACTTGATATCTTGGTGGTGATTCTAATTTCTAAATCTCCAAGATTGTGACTTTATCTATCCTTAAACTTCACTTGATTTTAGAACCAAACAAATTCATAACTATGCAAAAATCCAAATAATATTCTACTATAAAGCTTTTGTTTGGAGAAAAAAGTCACATATAATAAGCTTTCTCACCTTAGTGATAAAAATCATGTCTATCTTATGTACTCAATTTACTTCAGTAATTAAATAGATTTACAGTACAAATTATGCATTAACAAGTACTCTCTCTATCTCTAATATTTTGCACCATTATAAAAATATGAGTCAAACTTTAAAATATTTTACCATAAAATACTTTTAATTTATAAGAGGTAGTATAATTATGTGTAATCTTGTTACTAACTAGTTTTTATAATTTTTGCACTTATGAAAATGAAAATAAAATCGTTTTAAGATGTATTTTGGAGACTGTGAAAAATCAATTGGGGCAAAATATTTGTGACGAAGGTTAAAAAAGAACGGAAAAGTACTTCATTAGCAGCCAATGACATATCATTCTCATTCAATTAATTGAAATTGAAGACTTTTTATGATAATATATTGAAGTGGACTTTCGTCATAGTTTTTCTTTTTTTTTTTTTTTTTTTTTTTGTGATTTGCATGATTATAATTTTAGTAAAGCAAGAATTACAAGGCAAATGAAAGGCGTCTACGACCATGATTCTTCAATCTTGAATGTCTTCATGATATAATATTCACAGCTTTTTATTATTAGATATTTTTTTGAAACAAAAGTGAGTTCATCAACTTTATAGTCTATCAATTCAGTTAATGGGGTCCGTTTAAGAGCTTTTATGATCGTGGAAACGACTGAATTGAACAATTTGAATAATACTGTATTATTAGGAGTAATAATAGTATTCGCACGTGTCTTGACTTGATGACTTTTAGTCTTTTACTATTGAACAAGAATTATGAGGTTGGAGATGTTCATATTTATTATCAATGGTGCAAATTAAATGGAGGATCCCACTTTATAAAGAATCTAAGCTCATTAATGACAACTGTTTTTTTTTTTTTTTATTTGTTTAGAAAATATACGGTTTATATTTTACTTTCTCTGTTTCTTTATAGTTGCAACACTTCCTTAAAATTGAAATGTCACAATGGTTGCAACACTCTATAAAAAAAAAAGGTTTTTATGGTTTTTATTGCTCATGGCCCACTTGATTACATTTCGAACAATTTGTTAACCACATTTAAAGTGTATTATATCATGTGAGGTCCACTTTCTTAAATACCGTGATAAAGGAAGTATAATGTTAAGTTTGGGTAATGGTGGATTAACCTTTTACAAACAAAAAAAAATTAAAAAAAAAATTAAAAAACACAAATTCTTATTTTGTGACTAAGCTAGCTACATGGTGTGGTCACTACACATATAAGATAGTTGAATAATAAGGGTTACTGCGATGAGTAAATAGCAATAACTTAACGTATGTGGGGTTACTCCAATAGAAAAATGGGGTTACTTTCATAAATAAATGGAGTTATTGTTTTGTTAGTTGAAAGATTTAATTAAAATAAAAGAGTACGTACATGTTACTTGAATGAAGAACTCGGGTTAATTTTTTTTAATTAATTGTTATTAATCGTATAATGAGTTTGGGTTACTTTTATGGATAAAATGAGGTTATTATTACTCATATGAATGAATACATATAATTTAAATTAGGTATGTCACCATGAAATTAGGAGTACATTTAAATGTGTCTTCAAAAAAATAAAAAGTACATTTAAATGTTACTCCCTCCGTTTTTATTACGTGTTGTGCAATAATTATATGTCTCAATTTTGCTTATTACACTTAATCATATGGAAATTTGACCAATAATACATGTA